CTAGATATCCAGGCCTCTACCCCTAATAGCCTAGGTATCCTCGTTCGAAGTCTGTTGCCCAGGTATCCAGGCTCTAATTTAAATAGCCTGTATATCCAGGTTTCCAATTCTTAATAGTTTCAGATATCCAGGCTCTAATTCTAATAGCCTTGATATCCAGGCCTCTAATTCCTAATAGCCTAGGTATCCAGGCTCTAAGTCTACTGCCCAGCTATCCAGGCCTCTAATTCCTATTAGCTAGGTATCCAGGCTCTAATTCTCAATAGCTTAGGTATCTAGATGGATTTTAAGTTCCATTTTTCTAGTAATCTAGATAATTTTGTGGAAAAAGAGCAGAAAAAGCCAAAAAGATTTTCCCCCATTTTCAATCATTTTCTAGGCACTGGTTAATGCTAAAAAATCTGTCTTATATCCCAAAAACGCCCATTTTCTCTACTTTGTTTGATAGGAAGCGCATAGAAACAGGCGTACTGGTGTTCGAAATGAGCGTTTGTTTGCGAGTGAATTTGGATGAAGCCACGCTCCGGGCCGTTCTATTGGGCTGTTCTATTTGGAGTTTATCGATAAAATTCAGTTGGATAAAATCGTTTTTGAATAGAAAAGCACTAAAAGCGAGATATCTACATAGCTAGATATCAAAAACATTTTTCTGGATACCCAAAACGAATCCCTAAACAAACGAACGAATCCCATCGAACCTACTCTCAAAACTTTCATCATTTGAAATGAAGTTTATGAAGTTTATGAAGAAATTCCTCACCTTTCCCCCTTTTCCCCCTTCTCAAAGGGAACGACGTCATTGAACCTTATTATTCAAACGTTTCAAACGTTTTCAACCGTTTTCACCCTTTCCTTATCTTTCCCACTGACACTTTCTTGATTTTATTTTGGGAAAATGAAAATCAAAAGATTCAAGGATCAAGAGCCGGGAAAACATTGCCTCGTGTTTAGACTTTGAGCTACTTGCAAAACAAATGCTTTCTAGTGCACCTGGATTCTTTTATTTGTTGAAATTGAAAGTGATCGTTGCTGTGAAAGCTCGTGTTGCTAGTGAAAGCGATCGTTGCTGTGAAAGCTATCGTTGCTATGAAAGCTATCATTGCTGTGAAAGCTATTGTTGCTATGAAAGCGATCTCGTTGCTGTGAAAGCGATCATTGCTTATCGAAGAAATCGTTGCGTTGATCGTTGCTGTAGAAAAATTGAAGAATCTAGTACACTGCGTACAACCAAAAAGAATCCAGTGGACTAGGTGCAAGCAAAAGAATCCAGTGGACTAGGGTGCAACCCAAAAGAATCCAGTGGACTAGGGTGCAAACAAAAGAATCCAGTGGACTAGGTGCAACCAAAAGAATCCAGTGGACTAGGTGCAACCAAAAGAATCCAATGGACTAGGTGCAATCCAAAGAATCCAGTGGACTAGGTGCAACCAAAGAATCCAGTGCACTAGGTGCAATCAAAAAGAATCCAGTGCACTGGGTGCAATCAAAAGAATTTAGTGGACTAGGTGCAACCAAAAGGAATCCAGTGGACTAGGTGCAAAACCAAAAGAATCCAGTGCACTGGGTGCGCTTTGGCTTAACATCATAAGTCATAGAGCCGATCATAAGATCCCGTGATCGATTCGGAATCGATTCGAGAACTTCAAACTGTTCATCTCTTTTCTGAGATCCCTTAAATCATTTTCTCGTTGAAAGCGATCGTTGCTGTGAAAGCGTTTGACTGAAATAAACAGTCAAATGTAGTTAAAATGAAATAATCTAGTCAGAAATGTATCAAGAGTTCTCAAAAAGACGATATTGATGAAAGGCTTTTCACCCTTTTCTTGAGATCCTTTGAGAAAGATTTGGAACATTTCCATTCGGGCTGATTCTGATTAAGAACTTGAAACGGTTCTCAATCAGAATCATCTCTTCTCTAAGCTTCCCTGTATCATTTGATTGTTTATTATATCAATAATGAACAATCAAATCTAGTCTAAAATGTATCAAGCGTTCTCCAAAGAGACAATATTGATGAAGAGCCTTTTGAAGAAGAAGCCGTTTGAAGAGTTTGAAGAAGCGGCGAAGTCGATTCTTTCAGCTGATCGCTGATCGGCTGATCGGCTCGTCGCTGATCGGCTTTTGGCTGATCTTTAATGAGGTTTCCGGCCAATCATTTTCTTAGTTCCATATGAAGCACAAAAGTTAACAAAATTGACAATACGCGAGCGATCACAGTAGGCGAGCGGCCAATCTTTCTACGATTTCTCCATCATTCAGTCCATCATCGATAAACCTTAATTTTTCCTTTTTCCGAAATCGATAAGTGCACGACGTCTAATTCCAAACTAAATAGAGAAAGTAAGCTGAGAAAACAAGATTAAATGAAGTATAAGATTAGGGTAGGGGGGGGAGAAAGAGGGAAGGAAAGAGAGAAAGAGAAAGAAAGAGAGATAGAGGAAGAAAAAGAGGGAAGAGAAAGAGGGAAGAGAAAGAGAAACAGGATACGATTTAGAAAGTTTTCAGATGGATTAGGGAAGGGAGACAGACGATTTATAAGGGACGGAAGAGAACCCTTACCCCCAGAGGGATTTGACAGATCGCGAGCGATTAGCCTTGAGCTTTGAGCCTTGAGCCTTGAGCCGGCTTTGGGCCTTGAGCCGGCTTTGGGCCTTGAGCCTTGAGCCTTGAGCCTTGAGCCTTGGGCCTTGAGCCGGCTTTGAGCCTTGAGCCTTGAGCCTTGAGCCTTGAGCCTTGAGCCTTGAGCCGGCTTTGAGGCCTTGGGCCTTGAGCCTTGGCCGGACAGTCACTTTGCACAGTGATTTCTCTTGTGATTTGTGATTCCCGAATGAGATTTAATGTTAAAAGTTTGTGCCTGTCGTATCGTAGTCGTAGTCGTAGTCGTAGTTGTCGTAGTCGTAGTCGTAATCGTAGTCGTTTGGTCGTAGAATCTATTGTCGAAGTTTATTTGAACCATTTTTCCTAAGAAAGAACAAGAGAATCGAAATGGCTTTGGGTTTTGTAAATGATAGCTTTTCATATGATTGAATCTGCTTTTCACAATGAAAAGACCGAGAAAAACCGAGAAAACCCGAGAACTATCCTTGATTTATATTATAGATCATATTCTATTCTAAATTCTAATTCTAATCTAGAGATTCTAGACTCAAATTTTCAGGTAGCATCGTTCCCGCTTCCAGTCACACTCTCTACAAGAAACAGTGCTCGAATCGGGCTGAGGGAACGGCCTATGAGGTGAGAATGAGATAAAGAAAGAGAGAAATAGAGAAAATCGATAGAAATCGATAGAAATCGATAGAAATCGATTGAAATCGATTGAAATCGATAGAAATCGATAGAAATCGATAGAAATCGATTGAAATCGATAGAAATCGATTGAAATCGATAGAAATCGATTGAAAATCTTATTTTCTATAGATATTCTATAGATACAGGATATTGAATATCAAATCAAAACAAAATCGAATCAAAATCTATTCAGGCAATCTCGAAAGATCCAAAACTCGTCTGTATCGGCTTCACCCCACGTTTCTACAAGCAAATTGAGAAAAATGAAGAGAGTGAGTATCGTAGAATATCTAAAAATTAAAACTGATAATCTGTACACGCAGCAGAACTTGAAGAATCGAAAAGGAAAGCCCTTACCCCAGAGGCCTTTGCCAGATCGCGAGCGATCTGGCATAAATGAGGCCGCATAAAGAACGCACAAAGAACAAAAACTGCTTGATTCGACTTGATACTTTTTTTGCACGGCTCGCACGGCTTAAATCTTTTGCTATTTTCCTTATTGAGTTTGCTTCTCCGCTAATCCAACAATCAATCTGGCTTTTCTCAAGCAGCTTTTCGTGTCCATTTACCTGAAAATTAACCAAAAAAATTAGAAATAAAGATTTAATAATAAAAGATGTACAACAAAAGGAAGAAGAGTTGAAAGTGACGATGATTCTTGTAGATGGCTGGCAGTAGATGGCTTGGAGTAGATGGCTGGCAGTAGATGGCTTGGAGTAGATGGCTTGCAGTAGATGGCTGGCAGTAGATGGCTTGGAGTAGATGGCTTGGAGTAGATGGCTGGCAGTAGATGGTTTGGAGTAGATGGCTTGGAGTAGATGGCTTGGAGTAGATGGCTTGGAGTAGATGGCTTGGGTAGATGGCTTGGAGTAGATGGCTTGGGTAGATGGCTTGAGTAGATGTTGTAGATGGCTTGAGTAGATGGCTTGGAGTAGATGGCTTGGAGTAGATGGCTTGGAGTAGATGGCTTGGAGTAGATGGCTTGGAGTAGATGGCTTGGGTGATGGCTTGGGTAGATGGCTTGGAGTAGATGGCTTGGGTATGGCTTGGAGTAGATGGCTTGGAGTAGATGGCTTGGAGTAGATGGCTTGGAGTAGATGGCTTGGAGTAGATGGCTTGGAGTAGATGGCTTGGAGTAGATGGCTTGGAGTAGATGGCTTGGAGTAGATGGCTTGGAGTAGATGGCTTGGAGTAGATGGCTTGGGTAGATGGCTTGGAGTAGATGGCTTGGAGTAGATGGCTTGGAGTAGATGGCTTGGGTAGATGGCTTGGAGTAGATGGCTTGGAGTAGATGGCTTGGAGTAGATGGCTTGGAGTAGATGGCTTGGAGTAGATGGCTTGGAGTAGATGGCTTGGAGTAGATGGCTTGGAGTAGATGGCTGGCGGTAGATGGCTTGGAGTAGATGGCTTGGAGTAGATGGCTTGGAGTAGATGGCTTGGAGTAGATGGCTTGGAGTAGATGGCTGGCGGTAGATGGCTTGGAGTAGATGGCTTGGAGTAGATGGCTTGGAGTAGATGGCTTGGAGTAGATGGCTTGGAGTAGATGGCTGGCGGTAGATGGCTTGGAGTAGATGGCTTGGAGTAGATGGCTTGGAGTAGATGGCTGGCGGTAGATGGCTTGGAGTAGATGGCTTGCAGTAGATGGCTTGGAGTAGATGGCTTGGAGTAGATGGCTGGCAGTAGATGGCTTGCAGTAGATGGCTGGCAGTAGATGAAGCGTAGATGGCTTGTAGATGAAGCTTGTAGATGGCTTGCAGCTTGTAGCTGTGGCTTCCAGCCCCATTCTCTATCGGATTGTGGTCAGGAGTTGGTGAGACGATCGGCAATCCAATGCCTGCAATGTCTGCAATTTGAAGCTGCAATCTCTGCAATTCCTTAATTAGAAACACACTTTGAAACGCAACTAAAAGATATTCAAATGCATTTTAGCTATCTAAACCAGATCTAAACCAGATCTAGATACATTTTCTATCTCTAAATTTCTCAGGTTTCATCGAAATCGAAGACTTACTCGCTCAATTTGCCGACCCCTCACACACTGGAATCATGGATATAAAAGTGGGCACAAGGTGAGGGATTTTGAAAAGAAAACGATCTAAATAAGCATCTAAATAAGCATTTAAATAAGCATCTAAATAAGCATCTAAACAACATCTAAATAAACATCTAAATAAGCATCTAAATCATCTAAATCATCTAAATCATCTAAATTATTCAAATTTAGAACCTTTCTTGAGTCGGAAGTGTCAAATGCGAAGCTCCGCGCTGATTTGTATGATAAAATGATCAGCATCGATCCCGATGAGCCAACCGAAGAGGAACACAAAAGGAAAAGGTGAGTGAAAATGGATTGAGGAAATATGTTTACCGAAACCTAACCTTGCCACAAGAAACCCACCAAGATTTGTGCCTAGCTTTTAGGCTTACAGATTATGCCCTAAGCCTGGCCTAGCCTAGCCTAGCCTAGCCGCCTACCGTAGCCTAGCCTAGCCTAGCCTGGCCTGTAGCTTAAGCCTAAGCCTAAGCCTAAGCTGTCTAGCTCCGAGTCTGGCAGAAAGGGGACCAAGCAAAGACTTGGTGCCGCTAGCCTAGCCTAAGCCTAAGCCCAGCCTAGCCTAGCCTAGCCTAAGCCTAAGCCTAAGCCTAGCCTGAGCCTACCCTAGCCTAAGCCAAGCCTAGCCTAGCCTAAGCCCAGCCTAGCCTAGCCTGGCCTAGCCAAGCCTAGCCTAGCCTAAACCTAAGCCTACACCGAACTAAATCTATCACACTGTACTAGAGCCAACTTTTCTTCCTTCCAGTATCACAAAACTCCGGTACATGCAATTCCCGCGAGCGTGAGAGCAGCTCGGCCGAGCTCGGCTTTCGGATTGAAGCGGCAAAGGTGGGTTTTTAAACTAGTTTTTAAACTAGATATAGATTGGCTAGTTAGATTGGCTAGTTAGATTAGACTAGCCAGTTAGAATAAGTTAGACAAAATACTCACACAAAAAAAGTGCGTTTTTAGATGCCGGGTGGCTGTTTGCAGAAGAATTTCCAAAAGTTCGCTCTTTCGACGATATCGAGGCAACGTTGCGAGCTTTTTCGGGCCCGATCTGCGACGAGTGAGAAACGCGATATTGGGCAGATTGATCAAAATGAGAGACGCCGTGGAGAACAGCGATTTCTTTGCTACACATGAGGTGAGTAGAACGAAACATTGTACATGTACAATAAAGCATTGTACATGTACAATAAAAGCATTAGTACATGTACAACGAAACATTGATGTACAACGAAGCTGTAAGTAAAGAAGCATTTAATGTACAAAAAGCATTTACATGTACAATAAAGCATTTACATGTACAACGAAGCATTATAATGTAAAACATTGTACATGTACAATAAAGCATTGTACATGTACAACGAAACATTGATGTACAACGAAGCATTGTACAGTACAACGAAGCATTGTACATGTACAATAAAGCATTGTACATGTAAAACGAAGCATTGTACATGTACAACGAAGCATTGTACATATACAATGTAACATTGTCGTTGTACATTGTGCATGTACATGTAACATTGTAAAAGGCTTACAATCGAATGGGTACTTTCTAAAGACCAATGACGTCCTTTCTAGAGTCTAATGACGTCACTTTCTAGAGACCAATGACGTCACTTTCTAGAGTCGTACTTTCTAGAGTCTAATGACGTCCTTCCTAGTCCAATGACATCCTTTCTAAAGTCCCCTAGGTCAATGACGTCACTTTCTAGAGTCTACTGACGTCCTTCCTAGAGTCCAATGACATCCTTTCTAAAGACCAATGACGTCCTTTCTAGAGTCTAATGACGTCACTTTCTAGAGTCTAATGACGTCCTTCCTAGAGTCCAATGACATCCTTCCTAGAGTCCAATGACGTCCTTCCTAGAGTCCAATGACATCCTTCCTAGAGTCCAATGACGTCCTTCCTAGAGTCTAATGACGTCCTTCCTAGAGTCCAATGACATCCTTCCTAGAGTCCAATGACATCCTTTCTAGAGACCAATCACATCACTTTCTAGACTTCAATGACGTCACTTTCTCTAGGTTGTCGGCAGTTCTCTCCTTTTGATGTATGATCAAGATAAAGTCGGCGTTTGGGCGATTGATTTCGCGAAATCGACAAAAATCGAGCCGGGTCGTGTGCTGACGCATCGAAAAACGTGGACTCCCGGGAATAACGAGGATGGTTATTTGATGGGGCTTGACAATCTTATACAGGTATCACAAATTCAAATAGCTATTATGGTAAAGAGAGCTTTAATAGATTTCAGGGAACGTTTTAGAATCCGAATCGTAAATGCGTAGTCTTACGGTAGCCTTGAAACGTCTTTTTAACTTAAGATCGGCTTTGTGGCTGTCGACACTTTATAGAATCGGCTATAAGGAAACCGAATGCGAAATCGAAAATCTCTCAAATGACTAGAATCTTAACTTCAATCAAATCAATCAATCAATCAAATCAATCGTAAAACTTCAATCGAAAATTTGACGTCAAAACGGATGCTCAAAATGGCGTTAAAACGGATGCTTTAAAAGGCTCTTTTCTGACAGAGAAACACGTTTTTGGTTCGAGTGGATAATGTATTAGGTAGCTGGTGGATAACGCATTAGGTAGCCCAGTGGATAACGCCTTAGATAGCCTAGTGGATAACGCCTTAGATGGCCTAGTGGATAACGCACATAACCATGGTTCGATCCCTGATGCAGCTGCTAGAAGTTTCTTCAAAAGAAAAACCAAAACACCAACCAAAAAAATCCGTCGTGGGGATCGAACCCTGATCGTGTGAGCGGGCGCCCACCGCGCTAGCCATTGGGCCACCAACGTAGCTTCGCTGGGAGTCTTTTAAACCCTTTTAAAGCATTGGTTTTCAATTTCCGCTGAATTTCCGATTGACTTTCTCTTTTCGTTTGAAAGCTTTTAACTTTCGAAGTTATTCGGGAGATTTTTTTTTCAGATTCGGTTTCTATCATTCTAAAAGTCATTCTAAAGTCATTCTAAAGTCATTCTAAAGCCATTCTAAAGTCATTTTAAAGTCATTCAAAGCCATTCCAAAGTCTTTAGTCACTAAAGCCACTAAGCCATTCTAGCCACTAAGCCACTAAGGCCATTCTAAGGCCATTCTAAGTCATCTAAAAGTCATTCTAAAGCCATTCTAAAGTCCAAAACAAAAGCCCACCCTGAGCTCGTTTCTTTCCACCTTGAGTTCGTTTCTTCGTAAAGTTAAAAGTTTAAAAGAAACTCAAAAATAGAATGAATCCGAAATGTTTTTCAGATCGTGGAGGATATACACGTCGGAATGGGCAGAAACGATAAAAACATTTTGAGGGAAATTCGTCGAAAACGAGAAAAGCTAGAATGATTCCCAATCAAATTTTTCCTCCGTACGGGTCGAGAGAGGAGAAGAAAAGAAAAGAAAAGTGAGGGAAATTATTTTCAAAAACTTTTCGAGATATGGTAATCTTTGAAAGGTAGTTCTTTGACGGGATTACGGTAGTTCCATAGACGAATTACGATTCTTTGACGGGATTACGGTAGTTCTTTAGACGAATTACGATTGTTTAAAGGGATTACGATAGTTCTTTAGACGGATTACGGTTTTTTGACGGGATTACGGTAATTCCTTAGACAAACTACGCTTTTTTGACGGGATTACGGTAGTTCTCTAGACAAATTACGATTCTTTGACGGGATTACGGTAATTCCTTAGACAAACTACGCTTTTTTGACGGGATTACGGTAGTTCTCTAGACTACGATTCTTACGGGTACGGTATTCCTTAGAAACTACGCTTTTGACGGGATTACGGTAGTTCTCTAGACAAATTACGCTTTTTGACGAGATTACGCTATTCCTTTAGATTGAGGTCACATTTTTGGAATCCCATAACACGAAGAAACTCAAGCTATCGTTATTCGGTCATTTTTCTTTGTTAGAACCCTAGAATTTCGTGGATTCCTGTAGACGCAAAGCATTATATTTAGCTTCAAATTTCAATCAAAAAAAGCTACCGTTCCCCTCCCCCAGGGGCACTCTTTTGAATCCCATCACACCCAAAATCTAAAACAAAAGTTTACCGTATCTCCGAGTGCACAATTTGACGTGCCAAACCCATCTACCTATTCGATTTCATGTCATAATATGTTGGTCTTTGTGAGGATTTTTCAATTTTTTTCCCCATTTTTTCACTTTTTCCCCATTTTTTCCTCGTCTAGTACAAAAATTGTGAGTGTCTTATCCATATATTTATTTGTTTTTTTGTGTGAAAAAAGAAAAAGAATTCCGCCTTTCATTTGCATAATTTCCGTTTACTTACCAATCAGGCCTTGTTTTTTGATTTGATTTTTATTTCATTTTTGATTTTTTTGCAAAGAGTTTTCCCCTTTTACGTGATGATTTATCCCCGATTTGAACATTTCTCCTCTTTGTTTTTGAATGAATAAAGATTTAGAAGAGGAAAATTCGCATCACACAGTACCACGTCACTTTCAGAAGGACTACGGTAGTCCGAGGTCAAAAAAGGACTACGGTAGTCAGAGGTCAAAAAAAGGACTACGGTAACCCTAGATCACTTTTTAGTTGGCCGAACGGGTGAGTTGAGAGTACGATAACTCGGCGAGTACGGTAACTTCACGCCAAAACACACAAAACAACTCAATCCATAGTTTATTAAAACCTCTCAACAAAACGCAAAACATTCAAAAGAGAAGAAAATTCAAATGTAAACTGGCAAAATATACACTGAAAGAAAAGAGTGAAGAAGTACCGAAATATTCAATTTTGAAATCCACCAAAAATCGGTAAACGAACAAAGAGAAAAGCACGGTTGACTCGATGTGTGTGAATGAAGGAATTTCAAATACAAAAAAATCATTAAAAACGATCATTAAAAACAAAGAAACACACTTTGGCAATGAGAATTAGTTGAAGTGATTTAGAGAGAACTGAATAAATGAATACATGAATGAATTCAAGTGTCAACAGTGTCATGAAAGTAATTTTGATGAAGAAAAAGATAATAAACAATCGTCCTACCGTACCGGAAATGTAAATTTTTGAAAAAAATAGCCAGAGAATTTCTATATACAATCAAAATTTGTTGGTGCATTTTGGAGGGAAAAATCACAAGTTTTGGGGGGGAAGATGAATTAGTTTACCGTAATACCACCTGCAATTGAATTGCGTTTCCTAAACCATGCCCCTTTCTAGCGTAATCTTGTCTTTTCTTTTCTCCAAACTATCCACTTTTTGTCACTTTCCATATCCTTTGTTCCTTTCATATCTTTCGATATTCTCAAAGAATCAAACAAAAGCGGATGGATTGGATAAAAATAGAGACAAGATTACGGTAGTCGAAAAAGGGATACGACAAGATTACGATAGTCCTAGGGGATAGTCAATTATCTAAAAGGCTAGGTATTACGGTACGGAAAACTCAATGACAAAATGTGTTAGTGATAGTTTTCGAAACGAAAATTCTCTACACATACCTGCCATTGCATTGGGTTGGTCCATAAGTAGCTAGTTCTTTTGCCGATTGACATTGACTCATTTCCCTATGGGTCAACCCAATATTAGGTGATTAAGGGGGAAAAAGATGGGGGATGAAAAAAAAGACAAAGTGCTTGGGTATTTCCCTAACGACAAAAAGGCAATCTCTTTCTCAGGGCATTCAAAAACAAACAAAATATTAAAAAAATTATTAGTTTAAGTCAAAAATTCAAAAAGCACATTGGGTAAGTGTAAATATCTAGGCAATGAAATGATATTCGGGAACAAACAAAATAAATACAACAAATTGGTGAAAAACAAATCGTTTTTTTTTGAGTGATCGAATACCCGGGCAAATGCACAGTGAGTGAGAAGAGGGGGGAAAGAGAGCGTTGTGTGTGTCAAATTTCAGTAAACTATGGGAAAAATCACTGAGATACACAAACAAAAAAAAACTGAGCGCGAGACGGTCAATCTCTCCCAAAATGAGGCCAAATGGAAGAGATTTTGGGCACCCTGTGAAGAAAAATGGAGCATAATGTGCCTAACAAACGAACGTCCGTCGCGATCAAGCTGTAGAGAATCTATAGCTGATCGGTGTTCACTCGCTCCAATTCGTGAGCGGTCAATGTCGGATCGTCCATGTCAAGATCTTCATCCATCTAGAAATGAAGAGATTATCGTTTCCAATAATGTATCGAGTTTTTAGTCATTAAACTTCACGAAATATACAGTCATCAAAAAAAAGTCTTGTCCGGCCAATGTTTTCTCATTTTTCTCCCGTTAGATCACATTCATATAAATCGATCCCAATTAGTTTTTTTGTAGTATTTTGTGAGAGCTTTAAGATAATATTCTTAGCTTTTTTGATGTCGCTCTAAATCGAGTTTTTCAAGCTACTTTTGCATCAGAGGGTAAAGTCGTCTTTCTCAGATTTCATTCAAGGCTTCAAAACTGCCAGTAGCTTTTCATTTTCACCAGAACAAAATTAATAAATAAGTCATAGACGATCCAATGCCACTATAATTGGAACCGTTTTCAATGGGATCCATTCATTCTTGAAATACAGGTTTTTAAAAATCATGCTCAAGTAAGGTTTTTCGATCACAAAACTCTTGGTTCAAAGGATATCGAAAAGCTAAATGATTCATTTTAACAACCTTTAAAAATGCTACATAAAACCATTTGTGATCAATATATTTGTATGTGATCCTATGGACCAAATGAACACTAACCAGCCAAGACTTTTTTTAACGACTGTACCTAAGCAGGATTTGCGGTAGATAGGTCACCTGGTGGTATATTTTTGTTTTTTCGGGTCAATCTTCAGATTCCCGATGAAAAATGTTACGTTTAACTTAGTGAAAGCTTAATGAATTTCTCCTTTTCCCAAAATCCTACCTCCTCTCCGTCGGTATCCGATTCAGACTCATAATTCACATCTTCGTTCTTGATTCGGAAAGGCATCTTGATGTCGTCATTCTCGCTGTTCAACAGCAAATGCGTCACATCTCCAGGCAGTGATGGCTCGGTAGATGACGAGGATCGTGACCTGAAATGAGAACATTTAATAACAGTCACCCCTATAGAAGCTCGAGTAATAGTAGTGACATTTCTCGCTCAAAACTCACACTTCTCCGCCGCCTCCACCAGTGAATTGGCATTTCTTCTTCCTTCGACAGTACTGACACCATAAATCTTGTCGATCGACGCCGAATCTCGCTCGGCATTTCTTCGCCTCGTTGATATCTAAAAAGAACAAATATTTTATAGATCTTTGCATACCAAAATTTGCACAAATTAGGGACTAAAGTCTAAATTCATTTGTACTCTTATCGCATTAAGATCATTTTCTAAACCCCATTTCCAACGACAACGCACATCCCAAAGCTTTCGTTTAAAGATCACAACAGATTACGGTAGTCGGTGATTGCATAGCGGGCGGCCGCACAGCTCAACAACACAAGGATTTCTCGAGTGTGTGGGATAAAGATCGAGAAAAGAGCAAGATGATTTTGTTGTGTTAAAGAGGATAACGATGAATGCGGGTGTTGAAGAGAGATGTTCGAAGGAGCACTAATAACCACAAGAGGACACTGATAGCGGGCACTCATCGCTCATCTCAACAAGCACATCCGATGGTCACTCACTCAACGATGAAGAAAGTGGATGCGGGGAGCGGGTTGTTTGACTGCTTTCGATTGATGAGATGAGTGTGCAATAGGAGCTATTTGAGCTATCCGAATCGTCCAAGAAGCTCTTGAGAGCCAGTGATCCGATCGGGAGGTGGTCACCACACCTTTGATAGCCTGCACAGCACTCAATCGATGGATGTAGCTATGCAAATGTTATCCGTTTCCAATCTAACATCATCCGTCCCCGATCTAATATCAGTTTCTTTGAGAGAGCCACTCTCTGATTTGCACACGCGTTCAAAGGTTGTTAACATTTCGACGGTAAATGAAACAGGAAAAGCTCTAAATTTTTGGGCTCTAAACTCTGAATTCTAAATTGGGGACTTTACATTTTACCGAAGCCAAGAATTAGCAGCATAGATCGCAATTCTAGTTCATTAAACCTTCACTGAAACTCGACTTTTCTTTCAACCCCCAAATCAAGGACCAAGTGCCGTCTCCTTATGTTGTCTACCGTCAAAAGCCGAGTCTTTCTCTCTCTTTTCTTCTCCCTATCCACTCAACACTGACTATCATCTCTTTATCCCATCAAAGAGTGCAAAAGAGGAATCACTTGACAAGCGTGGCCGAACATTCCCCTCAACAAACAAGAAATCCCCCGCAGAGAGGTGGGATAGGTGTACTGTAGCGATGATTGGAAAGAGGATCAGTAGATGATAATAACTTTAAGATAATCGTGCTCAATAACTTTGAGATAATCGTACAACAACAACAACAACAACAAATTCTTAATAGTTGTGCAACTAAATTCTCAAATGGTGAAAGTTTAAAGATCGTTTCACTACCGCTCACCGCAACGAAATTTTTAGAAGAACACTGAATATCTTTTAATTCTTTTATGAAAGACATTCAGTATTCAGATTTCATGATAAGGATTTAAGTCCTATCCCGAACGAACCTTCAGTCTTTTCCCTCTTTCTCTTCTTCTTTTTATGGATCGCATAGTTCTCACGCGCACTCCATCCCGGATATCTCTGTTGATGATCCTCTTTGTCCTTCTTGGCAAGCACAAAGTATCTAAACAAAATGAAATTGAATTTTTCTTGAAATTGATCAAAAACAAAATCAATAAAAACTACTCACTTTTCTTGTGCTTCTTTGTTCAACTCGTGCCATCGTTTCCCTAACTCTTTGTTCAATTCAGCTGATTGCTTTTCTTTGAAACCCAACTCAGCCATCAGCTTTGGTCTGAAAAATAAGTCATTGATTTCTGTAAACTTTCAAAAAAACAAACCTGTTTTCTTTCATAAACCACATGAAGGCATTGAGAGGTTTCTTGATGTGAGGCGATCGTTTCCGTTCTTCTAAAGCTCTTGATAAATTAGTGTTTAACAGTTTTCATATGAAGATTGTAAATTTTCGAGAAAAGCGATTCTTTTCTTTTCATTTTTTCGATTCGATTCAATTCTTTTCATAAAAAACCGAAATTAACACAAAGTGCTCACTTCTTTTGGGTGTTGTTGTTTGACTTTGTGATCCGGTCGCGACATTGTAGGGAGGCACACGGACGTTTGTCATCTGATTGAGAGCACCGGGTCTAAATATGCAGTGATTACAATTGTTGATAACATCATCAGTTTTGCAATCAGAACATCAATCCGAGTTCTTATAGCAATTCAAACTTTTGCATATATGGCACAAACTATTCTTAATCTATTCAACTTATAATTCTTAAGAATCACACCTCAAATTAGAAGTCAACGGCACTTGTCCGGCGGCGTGTTGTTTCTGAAAGGCTGTTAACGGGCTGCCGGGTGATCCGAGTTGGAAGGTTTGCTGCAACTGAACACGTAATGATCAAAATGTCAATGATTTTTATTCTGTCAATGATTAGATAAGCAATGTTTCAAAGATTTACCTGCATAGCCAACAATGCTGGATTGTAGTTGGGCGAGTAGGAACCCATGAGTGGACCGATTGAAGGAGTTTGGAAAGCTCGTTGTGCCAGTAATTGTTGTGTCTGACTCTAAAACAAAAAAAAATGTAAATTTTGCTTTGCTCCAGTTTTCTTTACATTTAAATAGTTCACTAATAAATTTACACATCATTTTAGTCCCTAGGTAGACAACACGAGTAATTATGACACCTCATAGAAGAGGATGACCCGATGAGAGCCACCAAAAAAGGAGGACAATGAGAAGGAAACCGAGTCAAGTGTTCCCCCATCCAATAGATGAGAGAATGCACAAAACAGGGCAAACAAACCTTCACTCCTTTCTCTTTTTCTCTTGAAGCGAGAATAATTACCACCAGCACCTACCGTAGAGTTAATATGTAGTAAATAGTAAGCACCGGATGTTTTTAGGTCAGTTTTTTTTGAGAGAGAACAAAGAGTGTGAATGGGAATTGCTTTTGAGTGAGTCTTTTGCGATCTTTTGATTACCTTTTGCGATCTTTTAATTATCTTTTGAGTAAAACATATTTCAAAAATGCTTAATGCATCATCCTAGGATCATTTAATCCATATTTGTGAACTGTTAAACATTTTTATTCGTAAGTAAAAACAAACCATTCCCATGAGTGTTGGGAAAAAATAGGGTGAGAGTGAGCCGGTAACTCCAAAGCCCGGTAAGCCACCAAGCGGAAACGGGAAGCCGAGTGGTGGAAAGCTGGGCGAGGCATAGGGTGATGGGAACGTCTCCTTGAAGGCTCCAGATTTACCTGAATTGCAAAAATAAGCATGTTTACGAAGCACAGTATAAGACCTTACAAGACCTTGAGTACAAGACCTCAAGTTTGCAAGTTTATTAACTGAACCGTGGTTCCTATTTATTATCTATTTGCACCTAATTGGCCGCTGATTTCCATGATTCTCATATCTTTTTGATATCTTATTTCATATCTCTATATTTTTTTGTTCTATTTCCATTTTCTTTCTATCAATTCCCCTTCAAAAGCGGTCGATTTTGAATGGAATTGGTTGAAATCGACATCAAGAGCATTTATCAATGCCCTTGATGTTTGAGGGTTAATTAGTCTTTGTGACATCTCGTTCATCAATTTTCACTCACACCTTTCACTAAAGTGGCAAAGAATGTGACTGAGAAAATGAAATGAAAATGAATCTGTCAATTCTGTCAATGAAAACGATTTTAAATTTAGCATTGTGAAAGATTAAATGAAAAAGTAGATAAAGGGTCCCAATTTTTATTTGAAAAGAGCCTCCAATCTTTCTATTCTATGGTCAACCAAGCAAATATGGCTATATTTGTGTAATCATGCAACCCACTCATTACTCCATTCTCTCATTCATTGACTCGACTCTTTTCTCTTTTTTTGGATCTGGACAAGACACGGTAAGACCCCGCACACCTAAGCAAACCCTTGCGCTTTGTCAAGCAAACATTTGGCTTGGCTTTTATCTTCTCTGGAAAGCTTTTGAATCGGTATTCAGTATTATTGTTAGATAAAGGGAAATGCTGTAAACAATGTTGTAAATGCTTTAAACAATGCTGTAAATGCTTTAAACAATGCTGTAAATGCTTTAAACAATACTGTAAACTAATTTCAATGCATTTTAAAACAAAATCCTTGCTGCCGTAATATCTATAATCTTAAAAATGATAGCTTATAAGTAAAAAAAAAATTAAAACTAGCTTTAGAATCTTTCTCGTATTTAGAAACTAAAATTTTAGACTTTAGGTAACGAAATAACTTGATAAATGCCACTCAAAGGGGAAAAGGATTGACGGGAAATGTGTTCGCACCTTTTGCGTAACACATCAAATTGCGTAACGGGCAAAAGGGGATTGAATCAGATAGGGGATCAGGTTGGCAAAAGAAGTAAAAAGTGATCGAGATTGAAAGGGGACAAGGGCACATTCATCTCACCCGATAAATTTTTAACACTCCGGATCAAATAGGAAAGATTTTTGAGCGCTTTGATGATTAGATCAGATTTTAAGCAATCTACAGCCTCACTACATCAATCTACAGCAACGTAAAGCAATCTACAGCAATCTACATCAATCTACAGCAACGTACATCAATCTACATCAATCTACATCAATCTACAGCAATCTACCGCCTCCCTACATCAATCTACAGCAACCTACAGCAATCTAATGTTCGCTTTAACTGTTGATCTACCCATGCTTAAGTACAAAAACGTAGCTCTCTTCTTCGCCACTCTTTCTTCTTTTTATTTTTCGTTCGATTGCTTCGTTTGTTCCCAGAGTGTCACATAAAACAGGCAATAATTTGTAAGAATCACCCCGTCTTTTGCCCATTTTTCTTTTCTATCTATCTTTTGTGCGGCTCGCGTCTCTAATCAAGTCCTTCTCTCGTGGTCCCAACCAAATTGATTGATTGGAGAGAGAATTTTTTGACAAGCTGAAAAAAAAAGGAGAAAATGGTAACGGCTCAATGGCTCAAAAGGAACATAGTAAAAGCTTGTAGAGTCTAGTTACCATGGAATTTTGACTAAAACGTAGTCAGTTCAAGGTTTTACGGTATAAAAAATAGTATTCCAAGCTACTACTCGAAATTTTACACTTAAATTGTATTTTATTACATTAAATTTTAAGGGGCTCTAGCTAAACACTTAAAATTATGGCCAATTTATCCACAACTTCCTTTTTTCCTGCAAAACAGTCCCCCCAAGCCTCAAGAATCGTTTCCCAAAAGGATCAAATGATGGCCTCAAAAAAGATCCACAAAAGAACCCTCATTGGTGCTACCGATTGCGCAATGAAAGAATACTCGTTGCGGTGATGTGAGAAAGGACCTGTCCCCCAAAAATGAGATGAATGAAATGACCCCCAGATAAGAGAATCGATGAATGAATGAGTAAAGAGGGGGAAAGGACAAACGGAAATCACCCACTTGACCAAATAATCGAGAACGGAACGTGGGTGAATTTTAAATGAGAGTGAATGCGATGAGTGGGATTTTTTTTGACAAAAATGATTGCTGAGTAGAGTTTGGGCAAAATTTTGAATCAAAAGTTTGATTCAAGTTGCCAACTTTTCTAGTTCTAACTAGTTCTTCATGGAAATTTGGTATTTGAGAAATCCACAATATGAAATTTTGGGAAAATCATGGAAATCAGATGGCCGTCAACTTTTCGTCAACGTCAACAAGCTTTAAAACTCACCAAATGGCTCAGCTGGGTTGCTTCTCTGCTCCAGCTCGGTCTCGATGGCAGCTTCCTGAAAAAAAAGAAAATTTGAACCGTTAAAAACGTATTAGATTTGAATTTGAAACCTATTTGAAACGTAGTAGAGTTTAAAGTAAAATCACGCCTAATCACTATGTTTAAACAAAACAACGACTTGCTTAATTGTTAGATTTAAAACTTAAAAATCTCTACAAACCTTTTTGACAGCATCTAGTCGCTCAGAGGATTCGGGCGCCGTTTCATCGCTGTCCTCAACTTGGCGTCGAAAAACCTAAAGAAAAGATTGTTGTTGCTGAAAAGCTTTGAAAAAACTGTTGATCATTTACTTATATAGCATATTATTCTGTACTTTAAGTTGAAAAAAAGTGGAAATAAGCTGAAATAAGTTGAAAAAAGTTGAAAAACTTTGCTCCAACTTTCTCAAAGGCAATTCAAAAGAATCCTATGCTTAGTTTTTCAGATTACTTATTACTTATTTCTATTTTAAAGCTAATAATGAATTGACAAAAGTAAACGCTTATTCCAATCATCAAAAAAGCCAAAATCTTTGTTATGACCGAAAGCTTGAGCAAATATTTGCTAAAAATTGGTCTACGATAATCATTTTACCGATTTGTACAAAAATTCGGCTAACTTTCAAGATTACAAGTATCAAATCAGCTCTTAGATAAACTTTCAACCGACCTTAACTTCATCGGTCCCCTCCTCGGTCTGCATGGTGAACGTGGAAGGGCCGGCTCTCTCAATCAGTGTCGTCGTTTCACTCACTCACGCCTTTCACACGGTTAGATCCTCAAATACGAGTCGATCCTCTAAAGAAAAATTGGTTTATCAAACGTTTAAAGTCAAAAAGAACAAGAACTTTTAAAGTTAAAGAATCCGTAAAATTTATGAAAAGTTTGCAAAAAATTTCCTAATTTATACGCGTAAAATGAAGAAGGCCTAATAAAAATGAATACTCAATTAATTAACCGAATATCTTGACATTTGTAAGGTCTTTTTGCAAGAATTTTCATTCTTTTCATTTGAAAGCTCAAAGTTTGTGACAAGTTTGTGACAAGCTTTGAGTTATGATTGATTCATTGCCAAATTGTTGAAAGATTTCAAGATTGGCCTTGAATTTGTGTGTGTGTTTGCTGAATTTGCTCTACTCTAGCTAAATATGACTTGCAACTGCAACTCTAGTGCATCATCGACTTGCACTAGAGATGATCAGGGAAAGTTGAATTGAAGGAAGTGGCACAGGATTTTTAACCTACATTGGCTATGCTGTAGCTAATTGAGCCAATCGGCCAGCCATGTTTAAGCAGATTGTTATGAGAACAATGCAAGCCAATATCCCTTTATAGTTCCTATTTGGTTACTTTATAGTTCCTATTTAGTTCCTTTATAGTTCCTATTTGGTTACTTTATAGTTTCGATTTAGTTCCTTTATAGTTCCTATTTCATTCCTATTTCATTCCTATTTCATTCCTATTTCATTCCTATTTCATTCCTATTTCATTCCTATTTAGTTCCTATGCAAGCCAATATAAATGTTCATGATTTGGGAATGAAGCTGTGGAAGTATTGCTTCCACAGCATTCATTGCAAATCTTAATCAATGCTAGTTTACAAGGCAAAAGTCTTACCACTTGTCAAAAGCTGTTAAAATTTTTTAAAACAAAATTAAAGCAATGACAAGTGGGCAAATGCCAAAATTATCTAATTGTGCAAAAATTTAAAAAACATTAATCTTTTTTTAGTTGAAGGAAAGAACAGCTTTGAAAGAAAATTTCACAAATGAATCTTTAGCAAAAAGCAAATTATCAAATCTTATCAAAAAGCTAAGAATTAAGTAGAACAATGATAGATCAGAACAAAATTTATCAATCTAATCCCTATCAAAAGATCCCTTACGAATATCCGTCAAATAACGCGCGCTTTCTAAACAACGCCATGGTGCTTAGCGCCAAAAAAGGACAAGGGGCACACAGGCCGCAAAAGGAAAGCGTGCTCTTTTTTGGGGCGGTAGTAAGACAGAGACTTCTCTCTTGGCATCACCCCTCTGTGTCTGTTCTTTTCTCCGCTCTGCCCAATCGTCTCACTCTTTTCCCCCAGTCGCCCAAAGCGGTGCGATTCAAACAAAGGCCGCGGCACGCCCCCTGTGACATTTTTGCCATACACATCGCCTATACATGAGAGGGAATTGAGAGGTGACAGAGATAAAAGAGGGAATAGAGCGAGGGATTTTCAGAGGGTGAGAGACGGGTTAGGCTACCCCTAGGGTGCATGCAAATTGGAGGCGGTGCGCGGCCTTGAAAAATTTGAATTTCTCCCTCCACCGCCCACCACAACAGCGCTGTCAAGAGCGATTTCGGTAAAAGCCCATCGTTGTCACAATCTGGACAATGATCTTGAGAAAACTAAGATTTCGGGAAAAGATTGGGGGTTTTAAGGGTTTAGATAAGAGAAAGCTAGGTGTGAATAAACAATACAGTACAATACAGTACAATATAGTACAATACAGTACAATATAGTACAATATAGTACAATATAGTACAATATAGTACAATATAGTACAATATAGTACAATATAGTACAATATAGTACAATACAATACAACAAACAAACAATACAATACAATGCAATATTTAAACTTCTAAAAAAGTCAAAAATTAAACTCTTCACAAGGCTAAAATAGCCAAAAATAGCCAAAAATAGCCAAAAATAGCCGAAAACATAGCCAAAAATTACTATTTTTAAAATCATCAAGCAAATTTGTTCAGATTTTTAGATTCATATCCCGATTTTAGCGGTAAAAAAACCACAAAATAAGTCTAATGTCAAATTTTGACGCGATTCTGTAACAGACTGATTTCCCCGGGCCACCGTTTCTCGACACACAGATGAGAACAAATATATTAGAGAAAGGGGAATCTCTCTGTGAGAAACCCCCGTTGCGCAATTGGTTCTTGCCTCAAATCAGGTGTGGCCAAGTGATACTGTAGCGCTAAGCTGATATCAAAGCATGTATATGATTTTTTTAAAATAAGAATTGATGTCACTGATTGGCAAAGTGACAGGCGAAACTTACAATACTTTTACAATGCAAAACTAAAAGGCAAAACTTACAATACAATAATCTAGCTGTCTTCCCGTTTCCCATATATTTTTAAATTAAAAAATATCGCAAATGTCAACACGTTATCCCTAAAAGATCTAGATATTCTGAATCAGCGTCAAAGACTGTTTTAGAATCACTTGCTCTCGGCTCAATTCTCTCAGCTCTTCGCTAGTAAAAAGCTAACATCTAACAGCTAACCACCAGCTAATCAGCTAACCATCTAACCAGCTAACCAGCTAACTAGCTAACCAGCTAATCAGCTAACTAGCTAATCAGCTAACCAGCTAACCACCAGCTAACCAGCTAACCACCAGCTAACCAGCTAACCACCAGCTAACCAGCTAACCAGCTAACCAGCTAATCAGCTAACTAGCTAACTAGCTAACTAGCTAACTAGCTAACTAGCTAACTAGCTAACCAGCTAATCAGCTAACCATCTAACCAGCTAACCAGCTAACCAGCTAACCACCAGCTAACCAGCTAACCAGCTAATCAGCTAACTAGCTAACCAGCTAACCAGCTAACCACCAGCTAACCAGCTAACCACCAGCAACCACAACCACCAGCTAACCAGCAACACAACAGCCAGCAACCAGCTAACCACCAGCTAACCAGCTAACCACCAGCTAACCAGCTAACCATCTAACACCCAATCTAATTCTAAATACAAATCCTTACTAATCTATAGTCTAATAAAAGATATATAAATCTAAACTGATAAAAGAAATCTGAAAAGTGATCATGAACAAAAATCAGAACAAAAATCAAAACAGAAATCAAAACAGAAATCAGAACAAAAATCAGAACAGAAAATCGATATCCAGGGGAAAAGAGCGCTATTTTGGAGGGATATGCCCTTTGGCCCAGTTCGCAGGTGCCGAAATGGTACGAGCAATGCCCCTTCCCTTTCGGGCAAAAGAAAATGGTTCCCCTTTCCCCTGAATATCCTTTTTTTCCCCCTTCTTTTTCCCAAATGCCTAGCCGACCCCCGATCGACATCGATCCACTCCCTCGGAGAACACAACCATGCCCTTTTCTTTTGCGGAAAACAGGCACAAGCGGTCTCTGTGATCTGGCGCTTCAACTTATGCAACTAAACAAATCGCTTTGGGGAAACAGAATTTATACAATTTGTCATTAGAATTAGACGAGCTGTGTTTCCAGTTTCTGTGGAAAAAGATTGACTGACATGGTTCCAATATGGTTCGGATACGGTTCCAATATCCCCAACTTAACTGACAGTGCACAAAATCGAGACTCTCGCTTGACTCGCTTGCAGCTCAGGCTCTCTGCGCTTGCAGCTCAGGCTCTCTGCGCTTGCAGCTCAGGCTCTCTGCGCTTGCAGCTCAGCTCTCTGCGATTTGAACTTGAATGTGTGGGGGACACTCGTTCGAGATTTCTACAAAGGAAACAAGCAATATTCAAGCGTGAATGAACTCGAGAAAGCCATTCAAGAAGCCTTGAACCTTCTTGAAAGCCAGGAAGCCTTGAACCTTCTTGAAAGCCAAGAAGCCTTGAACCTTCTTGAAAGCCAAGAAGCCTTGAACCTTCTTGAAAGCCAAGAAGCCTTGAACCTTCTTGGCTTCTTGAATCTTCCGACTTTAGCCGACAGTGCTTTAAAACGCTTGACGATGACTAGACGATGACTAGGCGTCTTTTTTGAAGTTAAACTAAAGCAAAGAGAGCTCACTTATTATTGATTTCTTTCTTTTGTGTTGTTCATTTTATTTTTTAACTTTATCTTCATAAAAATTAAACTTATCTATTAGATTTTTATCTTTAGAAAAGCGATGGTACTATCAGCTAGACAGGCTGATAGTACCATCGTACTATCAGCCTGTCTAGCTGTATTTTTTGATTCAAAACACACCCTTTCTGATTCACTAAATTACTTGAGGCTGATTGGGAGTTTTGTGGAGTTGTTTAAGGTGAAATTCTCGAGAACTAATAACCCAGTTGCATAAAGATCTAGAGGAAATAAAGATAAATCAATCATTCGTCGACAGATGAAAGATTTCCTTTGGATATGGAGCACCGGAAAGTGATTGGATTGATCTAAAAACATAACGCAGAGAAACTAGCATCATGAAAGCGAAGATTGCTGTCCTGTAGCTTAATGTAGTTTAATGTAGCTTAATATAGCTTAATCTAGCTTAATCTAGCTTAATATAGCTTAATGCGCTTAATTGTTCAAGTACACTGTAGCTAGAGTTCACTGTATTGTAGCTTAATGTAGCTACTGCACTAACTACGCTATGGTAGCTGATTAAGCCGCTCGATTACGGTCGCTTTAGGAAGCTTTCTCTGAAAATAGGTGCCATTTTAGAAAACGCATTAGCTCTTTACCCATTTCTGTTCTTTACCCCTCCTAGGGTACCTTAGAGAGTAACAGCTGCGCAAATAATAAAAGGAATAGTGGGTGATCTGCCCTAGGCAAAGAAAAGAGATGGATTGAATGGGATTGAATGAACTAATGAAACAAGGTGAAGCAGAGATATCCATTAAAGAGATCAGCCATTTGAATGGAATCATTTCAAAAATGGTAATGGCTTTAATTGACAACAAAATCATTGGGAAATCAAATAAACAAGGATTTGAAAGCCAAACGTTT